TGGAAGAGCCTTCTTTTGGGTGAGCACTTGGTCGCTTACTGGGTGAACAGTATTATAAAGTTTCAGTCTGAACCTTGAACTCATGGCCCTTGGACAGACGGCTCTGAGCAAATGAAGCCATGGAAAAGTTATGTTTCCCCAGCAGAAAACGAATAAATAAATGTGCCTGGTTTTAATACTATTAAGAATCACTGCAAGGGATTTATGTCCATCTGGGCTCTCTAGCCGGTTTCAAAATAGTTTGAAAAATGAACTACTATAATCATTCTTCAAAAATAAAAGCGTTCACGATCTCAAGTCATTGTTTTTCAGACTTTTGAAACCCAAAGTCCAGGTGGGAGACTCTTTCCAAGCAACTCTTCCCACTTCTGGGTTCTTAACTGAAGATAAAATAGAAATGGAATGAAAGCAGCCCTTGTAAACTGGGCATCTTCCCAGCAAAGGAGAAAATGCTATCATATTTGGGATTATTTACACAAGTATATCAAATACAGGCACAGTTGTATAATGAAAGATTATTTGAGTGCCAAAAGAATGTCATATATATGGCACTCAGCCTTGCTCCTGGTTGCTGAGATGATCTTCTAATTACTTTATGCTTTTCAAACTTACAATATGCTTCTCCCCCCCCCCCACTCCCAGTTTTGCAGAAGAGAAAAAAACATTGTTCTGTCCGCAGTTCTAATCAGAAAGGCTTTGCTTGTGCCACTCTAATATTCTGAGTATTAAAGCAATTTAATGTTTTCCATCATAAACTTCTGGACATGCTAGTTTAGCAGACGTAGCACGCTGTTTTATAAAATCATTTTAATCTGAAATTTTTTGAAACTACCGCAGCATCTGGTCAATTTTAAGACAGCCAAAAGTTCTTGGCAAGAAAGATGGGGAGAAGGAAGGAGCTGAGAGCAAGCATGCATGCACTCAAAACAAAACTTCATGTGTTGATGTGTTGAACTGAAACTTCCTCCATTTTCCCCCTTCTGGCTAATGCAGAACACATCCTTTACCCCCCCCCCAAAAGGAAAAAAATAAAATTTAATTCAGGTGTGTGTATTCATTTTAGAAATATCTATGGTTTGCTTTAAACGTTGCTGCAGAAAAAGAACAGTTTTGGGACCAGAGAGCTACTAGATAATGGTATTGAAGAGCATACTGATGCTGATAACCTGCTGAAGAATAGTGAGACTTTCTATGAGAACCCTGGGAATATATTTGCAATGAAAGTTGTATTTTTACTACCATCACCACAAAAAAAGGCATTCAGTTTTAGTTTGGAAGAAACATTTGGCATTAAATTTACTGTGAATTTTGTCCTTGATTTCCATAAGAAACATAACAAACACAGTCATATAAATATAGTTGGAGAGGAAGGCATGACTTGTTTTTAAAAATTGGTTGGATTGAAAAGATGAGAAGTTTTTCAGACATTTGAATCCCAACCCTGCCAATATCAAACCTAGTCTAAACTCTGTTAAAGATAGTGAAAATTCCTCCAGACTAAGGCACGGTTGTACAAATACTTTTTAATTTTATACATACAGTTCTGCAAAGGCACTAATGAACCCATGTGAGTGATGGAGGAATCTCTTGGGCTCAAGTCAAATCTGTTCCTTCCGTCTGGTCTGCTCTTGCAGAAGTGGTGCTAAAGTTGAGCCACTCCACTTGGGAATTTGGTGCCAATTAGGTTCCAGCAATTGCAGATGTCTCTGAATATAGAATTTTGGATCCACGACTAGAGGGTTTTTTAGTCATTTTAAACTACGTTGACAACTCTATTACATCTTACTTGCTTTGATTATAATTAGTGCTATTGTTGTTATTCTAAACAATATTTAGGCATGGCACAGATCTACAGGATTGAGAAAGATGTAGTCAAAAATGTTTTGATTCAAATTAGCCAATTTTTCTGCCCTGCTTAACTCCCGTACCCCCCAAACCAATTAATTAATGTCCCAAAGTTGCATACCAATTTATAGATTTCAAAAACATGCCACCAATTTCCTAAGGGAAAGTGGTTCCAAACAAATGCAAAAGGAAGCTGCTGCAACCTTATGATATAAAAAAAAGTAAAAATAGAGGTGACAAAAAAAAAATAGCCACAGGAAGAGAGTTCCGGTTGCAATGAACCCACCACCCAGCTAAAAAATTGCTATGAACCCTGAAAGTCAGTAAGCCCAAAAAAGGCTTTCCCTCATCCAACTAAAGAAAATGATTTCAGTGCCTATATACTGTGTATGTCTCAACTGATTTTTGAAAATAAAACACATCTACTTTGCTCTCCTTCATTTTAAAAGCAAATATTATGCGTATGTCACTTCAAATTACAATGTCAGTAATTTTGGCTTGTGTTCACTCACTTGAAGGTTCATGAGTGGTTGAAACCGGGTGGGGGAAAACTTGAACAAACATAGGTGAATACTTACGGAAGGACCTACTTTGTTGATTTTGAAATTGTTTGATAATCTATCATTCGATCTGTATAAAATGTCAGGGTAACTGATGTGTGTGAATGTGTGTGTGAACATCCCAAAGTCAAATGTGTCAAATGATTTCTGGTAGTCATAGCAGCTGTTGAATACAGACCAAATTTCCATCAGAGCTATTTTAAATGCTTTTAACCTAAAATTAAAATTAAAATGCAAATTGTTTCCCCAAGCTTCTTAAAGAACATCCTATGAGGGATTGGTCGTAGAAGGGGCAGCACCATTAAATAGTGTAGATTCCCAGCTCTGGGAGATGAGGATTCTAATTTACTTTTACTATTGGAAACACTTTCAGAAGATCCTTGATAATTATGGTATCAATAATTTGTACCAAGGATCTTCATTTGCCCTTGACTTTATTAGGTCTTTTCTGCCTCCAGCACAACTTACCACATATTGAAAGAAACTTCACATTGATTGTAGTGAAGCAACTAGGAAAGTGAATACCAAGGCCCAGCTCCTCCTCCCACCTGCTTTCTAGTTTTCACCCCTTTCCCATGAGCATCTTCTGCTCCTCCTTTCAAGAGCGGTAGAATAAGTCTTGCCTCCCCATACAAACAATTCAGGCTGGGAGTCCACTTCAGAGCTCACTCCCATCCCTCTCCATGGAAAGCACTGTCTATTAATAGAACTGCACCCAGCTAATAAGCAAAGGGGGCTCTGGGGGCTCGGATAGCAAATGCTGAAGGCCAACGTTGTTTGCAAAATGGAAGGATGGAGGGAAGGGAGGATTCCTGAATCTGCAGCCAGCCCCAAAGGATTTCTTTTTCCTGATTCCAAAGGAGACCAAAAAGATTTTCCTCGGATTTTCCATCTTTTGGACCTGTTATGGGGAGAGGGAACCAGATACAGACAACTAAGAACTGAGTAACTTCTGGAGATTATCCACTCTACCATCTCACTCTTGCTGAAATTTTACTTCCACACTTAACACATAGTCATATGCAGCAATTAGGTGGGGCCATTAATGAAGAGCTTATATTCTGTGCCCCTGAATAGACAGACACACAAACTTTTCCTAATCAGATCAGAAAAGATTGGTAGAATTATGTAAATAGGAGATCGCTAACAAATTTGCTTTCCTCTTCTCTCTTTGTTTTTTTCCCCTCTACAGTCTTGTGAATGAGGATGGGGATTGTAAGTAGTAATAGTCATCTTTTGGCCCATTACATTTTTGTACAGAAAAACCATTCAATAGGTTACTTCTCATGGTCAGCGCAAAGCTGTGAAATTTCTTCCAACACGCATCCTTAATATTTTTATATTTCTATTTCCTCCCTTCCAAAGAGCCAAAATATTAAGTGGGTATTTCCCCCTTTTTTTCTTTTATCTAAAAGTGGGGCTTTAATGAATGAGATTAGGGCAAAAAGTGCTGAGATGTTTAAAGCATACCGATTTCTACAGAAATTTATCCCGAAACCTTTCCGAAAATATATGCTTTGGAAAGACTCAATCAATTAAAAGAAAATGGTTCTCCACTCTGCAGGGACTAGTTTTAGGCAGCAGCCAAGAGTCAACCGTAACTTGAAAGCTCACCTGAAGGATACACACTACTCTTGCACAGTATGAGGACACTTCATGATAAGAGGTTCTGGCCCAGATTTGTTTGTTTGTTTGTTTGTTTGTTTAGATTTGTATACCGCCCTATCTCCCTTACGGGACTCAGGGCGGTGAACAGGCGATAATAAAAATCACAATAAATATCTATTCTAAAATCAAATTAAATAAGATTAAGTCCAGGGACGGTGATTATGATCTTTTATTAGACTGAAGGATTTCCCTTACTTTGTGCGGGTCGAAAAGATAAAAAAAAAAAAAAGGAAAGGAAAGCAGAGGAAAGGGCGAAGGGAGAGTAAAGAGGGAAGATACAAGACGACAGCTCTGACGAGAGAATTCTTTTTTGTGTTGTTTTTTTTAATAGGAGCGAACACACGTGGCGCTCCAAGGTTCAAAACAGCGGAGGAAGCAAACGCTTCGGAGGCAACAGTTTCCGCGGGGAATTAGAACGGAGGACCGGGAGCCTGGCACTTTCACTGCCCACCCGCCCCTTTCTCTCCGCGCGTGGTCGGCTGGTTTGCTACCCCGGTTAGTTTTTTTTTGCAGGGAGAAACTGCTTGGCTTCCGTCTCTTTCTCTCCCTCCTCGCTTCCCGGGGCTCCACCAATGGGGGAGCGGGGCCTAGCAGCGCCAGGCTTTGGGCCAACATGATTGATGCCCTCGGAAGGAGGCGAGAGAGGGAGCCCACGGGCGCGCACGTCCCCCCTCCCCACCCTCCCTCCCTCTCTCTCTCCTCCTCCTCCTCCTCCTCCTCTCCCCGCTTTTCCTTCCTCCGCTTCCGGCCGTCTTTTTTACCTCTCCGGGAGCAAGTGAAGCGAGACCAGAAAAGCTGCGCGTATTTTTAAAAAATCTCTAGCTTTGGATCAGGAGGAGGAGGAGGAGGTGGCGGAGGTGGCGGCGGCGGAGGAGGAGGAGGAGGAGGGGGGGCAGTCACCCTCTTTGGGGTGGCTCTCGGCCCGGCATGGATCACTTAGGGGCGCACCACCTCCACCCGAGCCACGCCGAGCCCATTAGCTTCGGAATCGACCAGATCCTGAACAACCCGGACCAAGGCAGCTGCATGATCTCCAACGCGGCGGCGGACTACGGCCTGGGAGGATGCGTGGTGAGCAGCGCCTACAACCCCATGGGCGGCCACTACGGCTCGGCCCCCGGCGGCGGCGGCGGCGGGTCCTCCTCCGCCGGGGGCTACGGCAACGGCGGCGCCTGCAGCATGGCTTCGCTGGCGGGCTCCTACAACCTCAACGTCGGGGTCGGGGCCATGAACGGAAATAACCTCAACGCGGCCGGGGGCGTGATCCGGGTGCCGGCCCACCGGCCCGTGGCCGGCGGCGTCCCCCAGCCCCTCCCCACGGCCGTGCCCACCGTGAACAACCTGACGGGGCTGACCTTCCCCTGGATGGAGAGCAACAGGCGCTACACCAAGGACCGCTTCACGGGTGAGTGAGTGAGTGAGTGAGAGGCTCCGGGGCTCTTTCCGCCCCGCGCGAGTCGCCGGCGCTGCCCCCGCTGCCGCCCCCGCTCCCGCCTCCGCCAAGTCGGTCCGCCGCGTAGCCTCCCTCGCCCGCCCTCCCGCGAGAGAATCCCGGGCGTGCTCCGATTCGATTTGCAACCGCTTTAATTGAATCGATTGGGTTTGATTTATAAACAGCCTTGACGGATGGTTCGCCTTAGCGGTTTGGCCCGAAAGTGCAGCGGTGCCAGACATTCAGAAGGCTAAACGTCAAGCGGCAAGCGTTTCCTAATCATGTTCATGGCGGCTTGATTAACCTTAACGGCATTTTTAATAGCGTAGCTAGCACGAGTTTTCACCTTGATTAAAACTTCCACGGAAGAGACACCTTCTGAAACTCTCACCGCTTCTCTCAGAAGCTCAAACGGCGAGCAAATCGCCTAGCCTTTGGGCAACCTTTTAGAAACGCTTCAACGTTCAATTTTACATTCTTGGGTTAAGCAGGTTCTTTCAACATTTTAAAATTAAATGTTATTTCAACCAGTTTCCCCGCATTGTAGGTTCTTTTCCAATTTTCTATACTTCGTTCAATAGATATAGTTTGCCCACCTCAATTCCGCTAGTAAAACGCGTCCACCTATGGTAACGCATCTCTTAGGAATATTACAGATATGGCTCAATCTATACTATAAATACTATAACAACCCTATTATAATAACATCATCATCTCTGTATATTTTTATGTGTACATAAGTATACATGTACGGACGTACACATACATAGAGTTATCAAACGATCTCATATATATAGTTCACCAATTTTTGTAGTATATAAATATATAGTTGAAAAATAACTAGGTTTTAAAAATGTACCATAACTAAAATTTTCAAAACTTATGAATCATAAACTGAACAAATAATGCCTCTGTCTACATGTTTCCTGATCAAGTTTATTCTGCGTACTTGTGCGCATCCCTCACAATTATTGTTATAAATGATGGAGCGTGGGAATACGGATAAAAATAAACATTTAAAAGAAATGTATCTTTCAGACAGACAGTACAAGAAATGACATTAATACTGGTAGCGCTGAAAGGGAAAGTGCCACAAGATGATCTATGGTTGAGTCCAAGAAACTCATGCCTTCCCCCCCCCCCCACCGGCCAGGTTCATCTTTTCCTAGAAGTATGGGGCATATGTGACCCATAAATTGGCACCTACATTATTCCACGTGCTTTAAAAAGGGCAGGGGAGGGAGAGAAGAGAGAAAAAATGTCAATTCATCGTTTAATGGCAGATCTATTGGAAGACAAATTTTAGCAAGCCAATGCTCTTTCCGAATCGCCCAGATTTACGCTCATCCCCCCCCAACCAGGATGCCACAAACAATAATGGTAATTATATTTCAATTTTAATTTAAACAGCGAGTCCCGACCTTCATCAATAAAGGCCCCATTATCTGCCGCTTCGGAGCAGGACCTCCCCAGGGCTAGCCCTTTACCTGGCTTCCAGCCGGGGCGGGAGATTATTACATGCAGATTAAGTAATGGTTGCAGCGATGTCCACAGCAAGACGGATGGGCAGATCGAGGCTGTCGCGGCGCGATCTTGCTCTTTGACGCTCTGCTCTGAAGGGACTTCCGCGGAGTTCAATGGCAGCAACTCCCGGCCTGTAATTGTAGATCCAACCGGGAGTCATTACCACTGAACGAGTGGAGCCAATTTCGGACTAGACGCGGCCAGGAAGGAGGAAAATTTCCCTTCAGTTGTAGGCATCCGCGCCCCGGTCCGCGCAAAGAGGCCTGTAATCCTGGTTGCACCGAGTTTTGAATTGCCCGCCACGCCACAGTTTCTATGGGAGTTGGTTGCTTTTACTTGAATGGCGGAGAGAAATCGTAAACAGCAACCGAAGCTGGGGAGAAAGGATACCAGCGCTTTTCGGCATCGCAGGCAATGTCTGAAGCAGTTTAACCCGAAGACGCGACGACCCAGGCGGCCGCTTTATTTATTTTGCCTGGCCGCCGCCAGATTGGGGGGGGGGGGTGTCTCTAGATCTGCTGGATTGCATCGCCTTCGCCGCCAATTAGCAAGGCCGGATTAGAATTTGCCTTTCGACATTTCCACTCGCAATGGCGCAGATGCGGCTAGGGCCTTGCCGCCCGAAAAGGCCTCCCCTGGTTCTCCTCCCTGCCGAGGAGGCTGCTGCAAAAGAGGCTGGCTCGTTTTAGTTCGGAACAAATCGTCTTCCGGCCCGTCCTCATAGGGCTTTAGATATTTTTTTTATATATAAGAGAATTTTTTATCCCGAGTCTCAATTCGTTCTTCGGAAAGAACAGATTTTGTTCTTGGTACAGAGGCCTAACCTTGGCCTTTTTTTTTTCTTTCCCGCCGTCCTTCCGCCGAGGGCCTACGCTGGGAAAACGCGAGCCATATTGGCGTGGAGAGCGAAGGCTGCGCGGAGCTGCTAGGGCTATTTGTGGCAAAATAAAGCCTCGGCACCGCCGAACAAGGTTCATAGAATGTCCCTCCGTTCCTTGTTCGGTTTGGGAGACTGCTGAACATTACGGGAAGCACAGTACCCAGATCAGGCGAGCTCAGAGGGATCTCAGGTGAGATAACGGGGTGCTGCCGGTAAATTAACCAAAAGTCGCCAATTTCAGTTTTGGGATTATTTGCTGTGTTCTTAAATAGATCTGCTGCCACTAAACGAGATACAAACAAAATCAGGTATCCAGGAGAGTTGGAGATAGATTGAAGTGATTCCATTTTAAACAATATTCTCACCTTCTATTTCTTCCCCCTGCTTCCCAGCTAAAGTTTTCTATGCCTCTCTGGCACCTGGTTAGCCTCTTTCCAGCAAATGCTTAGCCTTAGAGAGAAGGTACAGATAGATACCATTAAACAAAATACATTGGACCAAAATAAATAAAATGACCGCAAGAGAGTCTTAAATCAGATTTCTTTTTGTTGCTGTTGTTGGTGACTTTTGTGTCCATAATAGAACTGTAAACATCTACTTAAGCTAGGAAGATTTTGGAAAATAGGTTAATTATATTATAGCTGTCACAAATGAAAATATAACATGCAGCATATTCTTAGAGAAATTTAAAAGGAGCCTTCTTTAATTGCAAGAGGGGGAAATTTATCTAAGGCCCAAAGGACCTAATATTTAAAAAATAATTTCCTCATGTGCAGAATCACTATGTAAAGCGATCTAACTAAAACAAAACACTACAATTGTGTACACTATAATTATCCTGATAGTTTCAGTCCAACAATGGTACAACATTTATAACAGGTCAGATTTCCTAGATTTAAAATTAAAGCCATAAATGAAGGATTTCCAAAGAATGTCAAAGTAACTCAGAGCAATTATGCCTAGAATAATTCTTGGAAAGCATTCCTGTGCTGGTTCTTTTACCTCCTTCCCTCATTAACATTTTCCTTAGCTTTATGAGTTAAAATATTTTCCTTAGCTTTAGGATTTTCTCTTGACATTTCTTGGGAATGTGTTCAAGTGAGTGAGGTTGGGAGGCAATATATTTAAGGTTATAAACAAATAGCAAAATATATATTTCCATAAGCATCATTTCAATTGGTAATTGCGTGGACATTTATGAATAAATCAAATACCAAAAGCAGATTTTAATGAGAGAGGGAGAGATCCATCCAGTTCCACACACATTTACAAATAACTGTGCCCACTGTAATTGCAAGCCGAGTTATGTGATGTACAATTCCATTGAGTTCAGTAGCACTTAATTCTGAACACTGGACTCATCTTTGACATCGGAGTCAGTCCAATGCATATTTACTTAGACATAATCCCAATATTTTAAAAGCAGTTTTCGTTCATATGAAGTGTATTGTGATTTACAGGCTAAATAATACACATCTTTTTATCTAGAGAGAGAATGGCTTAAACTTCAGAAAGAACTGCCTGTTTAGTTAGATTTATTTTGAATTAACTCCTGTCAATTTTTCTGAGAGTACTAACTTTAACCAGGGTTATGGACTTCAGTAAAAACGATCTTCAAAAAAATAAAAAACCATAAAAACAAAAAATCAAAATGTACTTTGATGGTTACATAACTACCCATGGATATGAAAATTCATAATTTTAAAAAGGTTGTCAAAACAACAAAAAGTGGGGTGAGTTGGAATCCCAGATTTGGATTTTTATAGGGGAGGGTTTCAAGCTTTCTTTTGTTCCAAAGTCTTAAATAACAGTAGTTCAGTAATGCTCTTATTGAGGCTGCAGCAGTCTGAAGCTTTCTTTTTACATAGTTTCTCCCAGATAACATTCAGGGGATTGGGCTATAAATGTACACAGTTTCGGTCACCCTGCTCCTAGCTTGCAAGGTAGATTTGGTCCTCCAAACAAGGATTTCTCCCCTCCCCATTCCGCCCCCCTGCCCGCTTCATATATACCCTTCATGTGCTCCTCTGTCAGAGAGCTCGCTTCTTGCAGGGAGTCTGGTGCCTCCATATTGGGATCCACCTTGGGACATTGGAAAGCTCCTCCACAGCAGCACATGAATAAGGAAATATTGGTGGGTTCCAAAACAGAGATTTGTTCTTGAAAAAGCAAGGAGGAGATTGGGAGCCCTGTGACCAAGCCTTCTCTGTGCCTTCCTATTTCTCTGTTTGACTCTTGGTGTGTGTCTTTCTGTCTCTCCTCTGCTGCTGCTCTGTGCAGTCCTTCCTGATCATGTCACCGCTTGCTTCTTTGCCCCCCTGCCCGCCCTGTCTCCCCCTCCAGTGGCCCTCTCACCGTTCACTGTAACACGCCGTATAGGTCACCCCTATCAGAACCGGACGCCCCCCAAGAAGAAGAAACCACGCACCTCTTTCACCCGTCTGCAGATCTGTGAACTGGAAAAACGCTTCCACCGACAGAAGTACCTGGCCTCAGCCGAGAGGGCGGCTTTAGCCAAGGCTCTGAAAATGACTGATGCCCAAGTCAAGACCTGGTTCCAGAACCGGAGAACAAAATGGAGGTAAGCACACTAAGCAAGTGAGCTGTTGCTGCTGTGCTGGAACATGTTTTTTCACCCACTGGGCTGGGTCACCTCCTGGGCCATCAAGGCCAGACTCTCTACAAACATCCAGTAGGTTTTTCCCCCCCAAACTTCTCAGTGGGAGTTGATCAGGAACAGGGGTGATTTCCTGGGGTAAGCATGATTAGACCTGGTCTGCCAAACGTGAAGCATGCCCCTAGGATTTGCTGGGCACAGATCCAGTCATTCTTGGAAGAGGTTGCTCCCACTGGTAGTCATTCAGGAATCAAAGAGCTTGTTTGGTCCCTCCAAGTGCTTAGGAATGGAGTAGTGAAGTTTGTGGTAAATATGTGTCTTGTAATTTTGTCATATCTGAAGGAAAATTGATGAATGGTGTGCAGTTTTAATGTCAAAGGGATTGAGAGTTGTGTCAGAATTCAGATTTTTTGTATTTGACTGTTTCTGTGATCCTACCACCCAATCTGATATCTGATATCTATTTATTTTCATATATATCACTGAGTATTCATAACTTCTTTTTGAATGTGTCCCTTTATATGTAATACATAGATATGTTTACTACATATACCTGCCTCACCCGCTTCTTCTCCTCCAATTAATGTATGTTATCTACTTCAAGTTAGCACATTCTTATTTCTGGATAAAGAAGGCTCTTTGCCTCGAGATCTCTGATTGGTCAAGATTGTTCTAATGTTTAAATTAGGAATCTCTGTGTCTTATTTACGCCATCTTTTCCCAAAACATGCCCAGGGTTAGATATAAACTCCCATAATTCCTAGACAACACAGTTGGGAATGGAGTCCATCTTCTTTAACCACTGAGATACATGTACAGGACCAGCCTTCCTGTCCATCATGTGACTTTTGTCTGTGGTGGGAAGTATTTCACTCATCATATATTGGCTGCTGTCTCCCATTTGTTTTGCTTTGGAAGCCAGTAATTCTCCTGATCTATTTAAAGCTTGGAACAGATGATTTGAAAACTGATTGGTTATAGCTGAGTCTTGGTTTATTGGCTGATGGACTGGAAATGGGAGGGAAGGACTGGTTCCTGTGAGTTGCCATTCAAAATCAAGACAGCCAGGTTTGTTGTGGAAGGACAGTTTCCGTTGCTAGAGCTACAGGAGAAACAAACCAAGGAAAACTTTTGCATAGTGAGGTCTGATGCATCCGGTCTTCGGAAATTAGCAAAGAATTTCAGAGGCCGTACCATATGTACCATCTCTCATTCTCGGAGACTCTTCCGTCATCTTCATAGGCCAGAACTCAGCAGAATAGAGGTGGCGCTGCCATCACCCTCAGGAGAATCCCAAGCCATTTCCTTTGCTATGCTATGACTCTCCAACAGATTGGAGGAAGGTGGCTAGAAGTGGCTTAACCCATAAATGTTCTCTACTTCTAGAAATGTTGTCTTTAAAATATCGGATAAACTGCTCCTACATTTTTTGTTCTTTGTTCTATTTTTGATCTTTAAGTTGTCTAGGCCTGTGTTATCCTTGCTTAAAATATTATTCCTGGATTTAAGTAATAGGAGAGGGTTTGTACCGAGCAGCCCACAGGTATTGAGAGCAAAATTTCATTTTTAGGACTGATCTAGAACTAGTGAGGTGAGCTTTCTTTCTTTTGCTAGGACTGATACAAAGTATGTGGGCAGCAGAAGAGAGAGAATTTTCATGGCAGCTAGAGGTGCCTAGGAGTTAACCTTTATTAAAGCAGCTTCTTGGATAGATGAACTAGGTAGGACTGAACAGAGTCCCTTGAAAGTCCAGTTTCAATAATTTTTTATAAAGGTTTTATTGAGTTTTATAAGGTTGGGGAAGGGATAGGATCAGGATGGGGATTAAGGTTTGAGGTGGGGTTGGGATCAGGATTGGGAACAACATTGGGGTTGCCCCCCAGTAACATTTTCAAGCTTTAGCAAACAGACTATTGTCTGGGTACATATGTTCAGTAACACTAATTAATATAGTAAATAGCTGTAATGAATATGATAAACGATAATCATAAACAGTATGAGTTGGTCAATACATATCATTGTTCTTACTAATATATATTCAAAATAACATATCACATTCATTTCTCACTAGTTCATTTTCCTAACCATTGGTAAAAATTATCCCATATTAAAGTAAACTGAATCTTCTTTCTCTTTAATCTCTAAGATTAGTCTATCCATTTCTGCACATTCTAAAATTTTCTTAATGAAAATCTCTTCAGTTGGTAAGTTTTCATTTTTCCAGTATTGGGCAAATGCTATTCTCGCTGCTACCAACACATGCAATATTAAATACTCATTCTCCTTCTCATATTTGTCTCTTAATATTCCTAACAAAAACAGTTCTGGTTTAAATTCTATCTGTATTTTAGTCATCTTTTCCAGCCATGTATGTATCTTAAGCTAAAAAAAAATTCGCTTTAGGGCATACCCAGCTGATATGGTAGTAAGTACCTGGCCTTTGTTTACATTTCCAACAATTATTTGAGATATTTCTAAACATTTTCGCTAATCTTACTAGTGTCACATGCCATCTATAAAACATTTTATACAAATTTTCTTTATATGAAACTGCTTTAGTCAATTTAATATTTCTATCCCATAACTTTTGCCAATCTTCTAAATCTATAGAGTATCCAAAGTTTTTTGCCCATGTTATCATTGTTTCTTTTACTTGTTCTTCTTCCATCTTCAAGTTTAGTAGAAATCTGTAAAGTTTCTTAATCAGGTTTTCATCTGTTTTTAACAATATTTGATCAAATTCTATCTGTTCTTTATAAATCCTGTTGTCTTTGCATCTTTTTTGTATCTTGTTTGAATTTGCAAATATGGCCAATAATTTCAATAATTTTTAATGTAATCTGATCAACTAGATTGTCCATGTATGCCATCATAAATATATACCCTTGAAATTTATAAAGTTCCTAGTGGTTTTATTATAAAAAGTCTTCCAGACACCTACCATGAAGCCAGATATTAATATCCTGTTTGAGAATAACTACAGTTCTGGGTGGCAAAACAAGCTACTCATCCATCTAAAATTTTAAGTAGATAGTTTTACTATCTTTACCTGGACTTAAGGAGGCAACATAGGCAGTATACTTGGTCTTTTCTCAGCATAAGAAGGGGATAATCATTTCACAAGAAAGTTATATGCTATAACAGACATACAGTATATTACTCAATTCTGACTTTTTACAGTCCTGACCATTTTGGTTCTTACATCTGCCTAGGCATTAGAATGGAAAATAAACAGTTTCACCTTTGAACAAAAAGTCAACAAATACCAAGTATTTTCTCAGAATAGGGATATGGATTGAGAGGGGCTAGTAATATTGAAGTTCAATAAAAAAAATAAAATGCTAATATCCTGAATACAGGTGGTCCTCAACTTACAACAGTTTGCTTAGTGACCGTTCACAACAGCACTGAAAAAAGTGACTTATGACCATTTTTCACACTTATGACCATTGCAGCATCCCCATGATCACGTGATTTACATTCAGATGCTTAACAACTGACTCACTGACTTTATGATGGTTGCAATGTCCTGGGGTCATGTGATCCCCTTTTGCAACCTTCTGACAAGCAAAGTCAATGGAGAAACTAGATTTACTTAACCACCATGTTACTAATTTAATAACTGGAGTGATTCACTTAATGTGGAAAGAAAAGTCGTAAAATGGGGCAAAACTCACTTAACAAATTTATCACTTAGCAACATAAATTTTGGGGTCAATTGTGGTTGTACGTAGAGGACTACCTGTAGGAAGCCATTATTATGTGTGTAATGCTAGTAATTATACATTAACACATTAAGGCAAGGCTTGTAATCATATTGTCAATGGAAATAGATATCAGTAATCTAGGGATGCAAATATTAACAAATTGAATCTTTTTTTAAAAAAAGCTACAACCCACCAAACTGAAAACAAATACACACAGTGCATTTTAAAATATATACTCTATTTGCAAATGCATTCCAAATTGAAACAATACCTTCTTTTTTATTTTTATTAAGAGATTTTATACACTAATAAAAATCAAGACACATTATAAATGAAAAGAAAAAGAATGAAGAAAGCAGAGCAAGTGAATACAAGGCATAAATAGACGGGAAAAAAGAAAAAAACACATCAAAGTTTGGCTTCCAACTTTCTTTATAGCGGTTACAAATTTTTCATCTATCCTCCCCCTTTACAGTTATATAATAATTTCCTTCTTCCCATATTTTTCTCTTTCTAATTATCAAATCCATAAATCATCTGTTCATTTTTTTCCATTTTCAGCAGAAAGTCCATAAAGGTTTCCAGTCACTAATGTATTTGTCTTCTTCCTAATCAAATAAGTTGGTTTTGCATTTTTGCAAGTTCATTTATCTTTACCAATCATTGCTCTGTTTGAGTATTTCAGAATCTTTCTGTTTTTGTACATATAGTAACCTTTCTGCCGTTACCATATTAAAAAAAAAACAATTTCCCAGGAGTTTCTTCAAGTCCCAACAAAAACAAACAAGTTTCAGCTGTGTATTAATCTTTAAAATTCTTTGTATGACTGTATGTATTAGTACCCAAAGTTTTCTAACTCTTTTACAAGTCCATTATGCATGATAAAATGACCCTTCATGTTTTTCACATTTTCCACACAAACCAATATATCCTGGAATATTTTTCTGGTATCATATATCAACAGTACGTCATTTTACAACAAGTACCTTCTCTTACATGTATTTTTCTGGCAGCTAGGTACTTAGCTAACTATCTAATAATCAGTGCAAGAATACTGCTTCCTGCTGTTGGGAGGAAGTCCTTCTACATAATGGTAGTTTGGGTAAAGACATTCAACTTTCACAGCTCAGCCGTGTCCTATGCACTGCTGCCTTTGTGCTGTAATACAGCCAATACTACAATAAAGAATGTGAAGTGTAAAGGAGAGTTGATGATTTGTCTAAAACTGAGAATATTTAGATAGGATTCGTGGTTGAT